GTACATTCTGCTGTCATATATAAATAAAAAAATTATATAAAAAATTGTGACATAAATATTAGTCCAAGGGGGAAAAGAGTATAAAACATCTAACTACTAAACAAGACACATTTTTTTCCAAAGGGAAAAGCCTTTATCCCCCACAAAATTAGTGATAACCAGAATAACAGAATTTCCACTTATTCTTCTTTTAATGGATCATGGGGATTAACACTTTGTTATGGTTTCTAGACACTGAGAGGTATATTTTAAAAAGAGAAGTAATCATTTTAAAGGTCAGTATTTACGAAGTTCCGCAAGTTGAAACCTTTGCTTCTATAATATGAAGAAATATTTTCAATGTTAAATTGCATAAGAGGCTACATGTCTTTTAAATTTCCTTTTACAGGTTGACAAGCAAAACATTCCTAAGACTAGTGGTCCTGGTAGAGTACATACTGAAAGTGCTTTAATTCTACCCACACATTATCTTTGTTTCGCCAGATTTGTCATTTTCTTTTTTTTTTTAAAGAGAGAAAGAGAGATAGAGGAGAGATAGAGAGAGAAATTTTTTAATATTTATTTTTTAGTTTTCAGCGGACACAACATCTTTGTTTGTATGTGGTGTTGAGGATCGAACCCGGGCCGCACACATGCCAGGCCAGTGCGCTACCACTTGAGCCACATCCCCAGCCCAGATTTGTCATTTTCTTAGAGAATAAAAATTCTGCTCCTCTTGGCAGGACTACAGTACTTGAGGTCATTATTATAAAGGTATCAGTCTAGACGAATATTGGGCAAAGGTCAATAAAAATTTTTAATCCTCCCTCCTCAGGTAAAAGGAAGTCTGAAATGGTTTAAATTCACAAATAGACTTCATGTCAATGACTTTGGGAACCTGCATCAATATATTGCAGGTTGTAGAATGTAGATTATGTACTTTTTTTTTCTTTATTAACATCAAAAAATATGCACATTCTTAAGGAAGCAGCAGTCTGAATACATGGAAATCTATTATGGATATATGGACATTGAATTCACAATATTGGGTTATAAAAAGAAATATACACTTATTTTCATCCTCAGTTCTTGGCACAGAGTTTCTAACACCTTAAAACTTTCTCAGTAATAGGATAATAAAAGCATCATTTTTATAATATTTGGGTTTTTCTCCCCAAATTCCCAAAGTAGGTTTGGAACAATAAAGATAATAGTAGACAGTTTTTTTTGGTTCATAACATGCCCCTTTCAGCCATGCTTGACCTTATACCAATTATGTGACTCTTGATGCTCCTCAAGATAGTTCCAGAATGTGAGCTGCTTGCTAGAGGAACAAATCATGTGAGTGAACAATTGAAGTATTCAATTACACCCAAGGAGGGAAAAGGACTGGAAACCAAGTGCCATCACCAATAGCCAATAATTTAATTAAACAGACCTCCATAACTGGCCCTGCATAAAAAGTGGACTTGAACTCAGCAGGGCACTTGTAGTGATGGGATAGTCATAGCTGTGGCACATGATGAAACAGACTTTGAGAAACAAGATAGAAACCCCAAAAGTTTCTCCCATGGTTGTTTTGAGATAAAATAAATCATAAGGGGAGATGGAGGAAGTGGTTATAAAATGTTGCCATTTATTTCCAGATCCTATTAGAGATGAAGAAATAAACTCGATGATCAAGTCATCTAACTGTGAAGGAAGAGGAAACATTCTCCTCAGCTCCATTTAGGACAAGCAAGTTAAAGAGCTCTTGACTTCCTTACCCCTCCCCAATTAACCTTCCCTAATGATGTTCTCCAAGACATGGGTACAGGCAATGATTTTCCAGGTAGGACCAAGAGATGGATATTTCCCCAAAGCATGGGAAACAAAAGCAACACTGACACTTGGATTATATCAAACTAAAAAGCTTCCACACAGCAAAGGAAAAATCAGCAGAGTGAGGAGATGACCTACACAAAGGGAGAAAATTTTTGACAACTATTAATCTCACAGATGCTTATTATCTGAACTCTAGAAGAAAATAAAAGAACACTTAACAACATAAAACAAGTCATCCAAATAAAAATGGGTATATGATCTGAATACACCTTCTCAAAAGAAAAATGCAAATGACCAATAAATGTATTTTAAAATGCTCAATGTCATTAGCCATCAGGGAAATGCAAACCAAAACTGAAAGGAGATAAAATATCACCCCATTTAGAATGACTATTATCAAAACAACAAAAATTAACAAATGCTGGAGAGACCATAGAGAAAAGGAAACTCTTATATACTGATGGTTGAAATGTAAATTGGTATGGCCACTATGAAAAACAATATGGAGATTCCTCAAAAAGTTACATGTGGAACTATCATAGGATCAATCAACATTACTCCTGGCTATATATCCAAAGGAAATGAAGTCAGCATACAAAAGAGCCAGTTACACTGACTGCATGCACTATTCATAACTAAGACATGGTATCAGCCTAGGTACCATTAACCAAAAGATGGAATGAAGAAAATATGGTATATATACACAATGAACTATTATTCACTCATTTAAAAGAAAGATGTCCAGCCTGGGGTTGTGGCTCAGTGGTAGAGCGCTTGCCTAGCATGCATGAGGCACTGGGTTCAATCCTCAGCACCACATAAAAATAAAATACAGATATTGTGTCCACCTATAACTAAAAAATAATTATTAAAAAAAGAAAGATGTCCTGACATTTGCACATTTGCAGCAAAAAAAAAAAAAAACAGACAAACCAAGACACATGGAGGCATAATGAAGACCTTGCAGACACAGTTGCTAATTTTGAAGGTTCCAGGACCTGTGCCCTTTGAATATGACCAGTCCTGACAATGACCTGACCTCCCTGAGAGGGTTCTTTCCGTGTAGAGATCTGTGGGCAGCAACAGCCCATGCAGAGCCAGAGCGCCAAAGCTCAGTTCTGGCCCTATTCTTGGAGAAAAAGGCTAATCTCCAGGAAGAGGTATGGGAATGCTGCTGCAGGGTACTGTCCTTTCAACAGAAACCATTTTGCAGGTGGCCAAGTTTCTGCAGCAGCTGCATCACTAAACCCTGGGCCTAGGTTCAGAAGGTGAGCAGAAGAAATGAGTGCACATCCCCGAGGTTGCTGCACCAAGGCCAGCCTGAAGCACTTCAGTGAAGCTGAAGATCTGTACTTGCCACCTGCCCAACTTTTGCATTCTGCACCTTCCCCATAAGCAGCAAGAACCCAGAGCTTAGGGATGGTGGGATATGACAACACCCCTCTACACACAGCATCACAATTCTTCCACTTCCTTGAACAATGACTGTGTCCTCCAAACTAATGGATCCACTTCTAGGTGAGAATCCAGGCAGAACATAACACCAAGAATAATGACATGGAGTCAAATTTGTTTGCAAATGGGGAATTGCTCCCAAAGCCCTGCTGTCTGCCAGAGCAAGCTGCAGTTTATTTGGCAGGGAATGCATGACCTGGTTGAGAGAAGACATCATCACAAACGTAGGTGGGGACTTTCCTGCACAAAGAAGTCTGACAACATGCTCCTTTATACTTTCCATGTTTTGGAAATGAGCCTTCAGTTTTTTCCCTGCATGTAGATTTTAGCATTACAATGAAGTAAAGTCCCATTATCTGTCACTAATGCATGCTCCTTTAGGACAGATTAGGTAATGTTACTTCTGAAAAACAATTTTTAGAGGATTTGTTATAAAACAGCTTTACCTCATGAATCTGGGATATTGAATAGGGGATTATATACATCTAGTGTTCTCAGGTTTCTGCTAGGAAGTCAGCAGCATCTTCACTTGTGAGGCTGCCTGTCTGCTAACATCTTCAGCAGAGCTCCAGTCTTGAAAGCAGACACTACTCTGTGCCCTCGATTACAATGCAACAATAAAAATATGCTAGAAAAAAAAATTTAATGGCTGAGGTTTTGGCTCAATGGTAGAGCTCTTGCCTAGCATGTGTGAGGCACAAAGTTCAATCCTCATTACCACATAATGGTAAATAAGATAAAGGTATTGTGTCCATCTACAAATTTAAAAAAAAATTTTTAATTAAAAAAAAGGATTTTGTCTGTTTTTACATGAAGAACTGATAAATGTTTGAGGAGATATATATGTTTAACTTGATTTAAACACTACACTATGCATACACATGTTGAAACATTACATAGTACCCCATAATATGCACAATTTAATGATTTATGTATCATTTAAACATAAATTGAACTTAAATTTTTAAAGCGAAAATTTCTGATGGTGGATTGTGATAGACATCATCATCCAAAGTACAAGTATGAAGACATGAATTGGTGTCAACATACTTTATATACAACCAGAGATAGGAAAAACTGTGCTACATACATGAAATGAGGATTATAATGCATTCCACTGTCCTTTATTTTTTTAAAAAATCAATTAAAAAAACAGAAAATTTCTACTTATTTCATCTTTTTATGGAACTTGTGATTGTGGCTTTAGGGAGCCAATAAATAATACCCCTCTCTTCCCTTGTCCCTACCCAAATAGATGCATGCATATAACAGACATCACATATGGACTTCATTATTGACAAAAGCTAGAATGTAGGTTTTGTCTTAAATTTCCAAACTTGATAAATTTTCAAACATTTCCCCCTGTATGAAATTTACCCAGACAGTGATGAACAACTTTTTGCCACTCCTACAGACACATTCATTTTCTATTTCAATCAATACTTATTGAGTGACAACTTGGGGCCAGTTACTATGTTGTCTGAGGACTCAACAGTGAACAAATCAAAGTCACTGCACTCAAGGATTTTACATTTTTTTTTTTTTTTTTTTTTTTTTGAGGCACCAAAAGAAGGTTTATGGGGGGGAGGGGGCGTTCCGGGAGAGGTTCACCATCAAAGGGTGAGGGCCAGGGAGGTCCTGGGCAGGAAAGGCAGGAACAATGCTAATAAGCAAAGCAGGAGGCAGGAGGGCCTAGGCCATCTATATTGAAGCTATGGAGAGCAGGTTGGCCAGAACTGAGTTTAGGGGGATCGTGTCTGTTGCGGGTTGGTCAGTGCTGATGTGAGTTCACAGGGCGATTGCTTCAGCTGCAGAAACCCGTGTTGGTTGGGATCCATTGCCATGTCAGCTTCTGATTGGCCATTTTGAGTCTCTTCAGCCAGGTGGAAAGTCTTCTCCCACATCCGCCATGAAAGAGGAGGGGAAGGGAAGCCTGCTGACCCAACAATATTTAAGAGTACCTTGCTGTAGCATAAAGAAATAAATTGAAATATGGAAAATAATACAGTGATTAAAAATACAGGCTCGGGGTTCAGGCTACCTGTGTTGATTCCTTTTTTTTTTTTTTTTTTTTTTTTTTTTAATTTTTTTTATTGGTTGTTCAAAACATTATAAAGCTCTTGACATATCATATTTCATACATTAGATTCCAGTTGGTTATGAACTCCCAATTTTACCCCAAATACAGATTGCAGAATCACATCGGTTACACATCCACATTTTTACATAATGCCCTATTAGTAACTGTTGTATTCTGCTACCTTTCCTATCCTCTACCATCCCCCCTCCCTCCCCTCCCATCTTCTCTCTCTACCCCATCCACTGTAATTCATATCTCTCCTTGTTTATTTTCCCATTCCCCTCACAACCTCTTATATGTAATTTTGTATAACAATGAGGGTCTCCCTCCATTACCATGCAATTTCCCTTTTCTCTCCCTTTCCATCCCACCTCATGTATCTGTTTAATGTTAATCTTTTCTTCCTGCTCTTCCTCCCTGCTCTGTTCTTAGTTGCTCTCATTATATCAAAGAAGACATTTGGTATTTGTTTTTTAGGGATTGGCTAGCTTCACTAAGCATAATCTGCTCTAGTGCCAAGGGATTTTACATTGTAATTGATATGGAGAAAAACATTTTAAAAATTAAACACCACAGCACACATATTAATGGACAACATCCACAACACTGTCAATTGCAAATGCTGGCCAGAAAATGTAACAATAGGAACACTTTGATTCATGGCTGGTCAAATGCAAAATGATAGCCACTATGGAAGTCTTAACACCCAAGTTAACAAGAGTCCTCCTAGGTGTTAACACAAATGAATTGAAAACGTATTCACACAAAAATCCACAAAAGAAGCCAAATAAAAACTTCATTCCTAAGTGTCAAACATTAGAAGCAAGCAATATGTCCTTCAATAGATGAATAAACTGTGGTAGAATATTTTCTGCAATAAAAAGAAATGTCAACATGCCATAAAATAAAATGGAGGAATCTTAAATGCTCATAACTAACAGTAAGAGGACTTTGGAAAAATCTGTGTATGATCCAACTTATGATAATCTGTAAAAGACAAAAGCATAAAAATCAGTAAATACAAGGAGTTGTCAGGAAGAAAAGGATAGTAACTGAAAGTGAGAAATTTTAGGGCACTAATACTATTCTCTATAATACTGGGGTGTGAATACATTCCATTCCTGAGCACATTTCTAAGAAAAAAATACAGAGTTACACAAAAAGCCATGTAAAAGAAGAAGCTTTATTCAGAATAGATAAGGTATAAAAATAATTCAAAGCTTACTGAGATAAAAAGATCATGTTACAATGAAACACAATTCCATAAAAAATTGAATCTACCAATGAAAAAATACAAAAAGCTTAGGAGAATCTCACAAACATACTGAGATAAAGAAAGTAAAAAGAAAAAGCAAACTTTGTTATCTGTTTTATATGGAATTTGAAAAGCTGGAATCAGAACACTGCATTCATTTGGTCAGGACAGGGAACATTGGGCAGTGCTAGAAATCTTTATTGTAGATAATCATGGTGGTTACAGGTTTGCACACACTTGACAAAATCATGAAACTACTCAGAAAGTGTGTGCCTTTTACTTATGTAAATGATAGCTCAATAAAATCTAGTCACTAAAACTAATATATTTTCTTAAATCCATCAGGACTCAATTGGACAATAATTAGAAATTTATTAGTCTTCATAATAAAATCTTACAGTAGGTTATGCTGTGAAAATAGTTGATTCAGTGACCCACAAAGAACTTAAATAACCAGGTCCTTCCCATGGCTCTACTCTACCATCCATGGTATTTCTATCATTTGAAGGCTACTTTCCCTCATGGTTACAGTATGACTGTCAGTTGTGAACAGGACCTTTCATGTTCCTTAGTAGAGGAAGTCCCTCACAATTATTGTATTAAGTGCTCTGTAGGAAATAAACTGATAAATTCCATATGCAACACTAACATACCTAAAAGTCTATGGAATGTCTTTCATAAAGAAGAACTTATGAGCTAGCTCTAGAATAGAGCCAGACATCCAAACACATGTTCATGAAAAGTGGTGGCTCATAAGTAGATCTTCATCATTTCACAAACTGATACTTGACCATCTTTGCAACGTGTATCATTCCAGCCCCATTGCAATGACGGAAAATGATGGTTTACTATAACACAATGCTCTCCACTATGAATTGGCTCACATGGATGCCAGAATCTGAAACAGAGAAAAAAGGATGAAGTGATTCTTCCAAGACTGCTTTTACAGGGGTTAGAGTCAGTTATGGGGCCAGAGGCTGGGGTGGAACTCTGTGGAAGTCAGGGTCAGATATGCCCAGACCAACCAAACCTTCCCAATTCTCATGTAGTTTCTCCTCCACCAACACCTCTGACATTTATCTTGAAAATTGTGCCCTCATCACTCATATTTTCTCATACCTTATCGCACTTAACATTTGACCAAAAGTTACCCATAGGCTCTCCTCTAAACGTAGGTCCCATTGCCAGGGGACTGTCAATCAATGGGGCTTTCTTATATGATGAAAAGAAGTCACCATGGTCCCATGTATCAATAAAGGCTTTTTTTCCTCTTTTAATGGGATGATTTTGAAATCTGAAGAAATGGTTAAATCTCTATATCTTCTACTTATTCCTGTTTTCTAGGTCAAATAATTTAATTTCTTAGATTCTCAGTTTGCCCATCTAAAAACTGGACCATAGTAACAGCACTATATATTTCACAAAGAAGATATAAGGATCAAAGGTGGAAGTATACTAATGTATTTAATGCCTTTAAAGATTACATAAATGTGAGATATTATAATAATATCCAAATTTAGGATTTTTTCTTTGTGAGAAATATTAAATCACAATAATCCATAATGATCTTTAAAAACATGAATTTTATTACAGAGAATAAATAGAGTTTTTAAAAACAAAGTAGAATCCACCTGGTTCTAAAGACTATTGGGTGACCTTAGCTGAACTATCTATACTCTCCAAACTCAATTTCCTCAGTTCTATAATAGAAAAAATAATGTGTGCCTCCTAAGGTTCTGTAATAATTTAATGAGGTAATAAAATTGATTAACTGTGTGTGCAACAGGACAAGAGTGAGCTGTTCTAGTTTCAGAACTGATGCTGGAACACTCTAAACTTCCTGCATGATCCAGGATCCAGGATTCCTTTATCTAAATTCTGTACTCATGTGGCACTTTGGTTGTAGGGGTCTGATCAACCCATTGCCAGTGTCCTTGACCCCCTGAATCTGATAGTCCCACAAAATAAGCAGAAGTTTTATCCATATTCTGAGTGAGGAAATCCTAAAAGAAAAGAAGTCATAGGCTTTAGATACTCAGCTTGAACTGAGGTTTTTTTTTAATTTGCCAAATCATGGAAGGTACTGGTAGTAATAAAACAGAATGAAATGTAAATAAAATTTGCCAATAAAAATATTTTTTAAATAATTTTGGTGATTTATTTCTTCTTTCTTATTTTAATTGTAAAATCTATCAGATAACATGATAGTTCGATACATATACACAGTGCATAATGATCAAATTGGCATAGTTAACATTTCTATCTTCTTTATATCTTTTTAAAGATTTTACTAAGCCTCAGGCTAGCATCATTCTGAATGGAGAAAAATTGAAGGCATACCCTCTAAAATCTGGAACAAGACAGGGATGCCCTCTCTCACCACTTCTGTTCAACATAGTTCTCGAAACACTGGCCAGAGCAATTAGACAGACGAAAGAAATTAAAGGCATCAAAATAGGAAAAGAAGAACTTAAATTATCACTATTTGCAGGTGACATGATTCTATACCGAGCAGACCCAAAAGGGTCTACAAACAAACTATTAGAGCTAATAAATGAATTCAGCAAAGTGGCAGGATATAAAATCAACACGCATAAATCAAAGGCATTCCTGTATATCAGCGACAAATCCTCTGAAATGGAAATGAGGACAACCACTCCATTCACAATATCCTCAAAAAAAATAAAATATTTGGGAATCAACCTAACAAAAGAGGTGAAAGACTTATACAATGAAAACTACAGAACCCTAAAGAGAGAAATAGAAGAAGATCTTAGAAGATGGAAAAATATACCCTGTTCATGGATAGGCAGAACTGACATCATAAAAATGGCGATATTACCAAAAGTTCTCTATAGGTTTAATGCAATGCCAATCAAAATCCCAATGGCATTTCTTGTAGAAAAAGAGAAAGCAATCATGAAATTCATATGGAAAAATAAAAGACCCAGAATAGCAAAAACAATGCTAAGCAGGAAGTGTTAATCAGGCAGTATAGCGATACCAGACTTCAAACTATACTACAGAGCAATAGTAACAAAAACAGCATGGTACTGGTACCAAAACAGGCGGGTGGACCAATGGTACAGAATAGAGGACACAGAAACCAATCCACAAAACTACAACTATCTTATGTTTGATAAAGGGGCTAAAAGCATGCAATGGAGGAAGGATAGCATCTTCAACAAATGGTGTTGGGAAAACTGGAAATCCATATGCAACAAAATGAAACTGAATCCCTTTCTCTCGCCATGCACAAAAGTTAATTCAAAATGGATCAAGGAGCTTGATATCAAATCAGAGACACGCCGTCTGATAGAAGAAAAAGTTGGCTACGATCTACATACTGTGGGGTCGGGCTCCAAATTCCTCAATACGACACCCATAGCACAAAATTAATAACTAGAATCAACAAATGGGACTCACTTAAACTAAACAGTTTTTTTTCTCAGCAAAAGAAACAATAAGAGAGGTAAATAGGGAGCCTACATCCTGGGAACAAATCTTTACTCCTCACACTTCAGATAGAGCCCTAATATCCAGAGTATACAAAGAACTCAAAAAATTAGACAATAAGATAACAAATAACCCAATCAACAAATGGGCCAAGGACCTGAACAGACACTTCTCAGAGGAGGACATACAATCAATCAACAAGTACATGAAAAAATGCTCACCATCTCTAGCAGTCAGAGAAATGCAAATCAAAACCACCCTAAGATACCATCTCACTCCAGTAAGATTGGCAGCCATTCTGAAGTCAAACAACAACAAGTGCAGCGAGGATGTGGGGAAAAGGGTACTCTTGTACATTGCTGGTGGGACTGCAAACTGGTGCGGCCAATCTGGAAAGCAGTATGGAGATTTCTGGGAAAGCTGGGAATGGAACCACCATTTGACCCAGCTATTCCCCTTCTCGGTCTATTCCCTAAAGACCTAAAAAGAGCATGCTACAGGGACACTGCTACATCGATGTTCATAGCAGCACAATTCACAATAGCAAGACTGTGGAACCAACCTAGATGCCCTTCAATAGATGAATGGATAAAAAAAATGTGGCATTTATACACAATGGAGTATTACTCTGCATTAAAAAATGACAAAATCATAGAATTTACAGGGAAATGGATGGCATTAGAGCAGATTATGCTAAGTGAAGCTAGCCAATCCCTAAAAAACAAATGCCAAATGTCTTCTTTGATATAAGGAGAGTAACTAAGAACAGAGTAGGGATGAAGAGCATGAGAAGAAGATTAACATTAAACAGGGATGAGAGGTGGGAGGGAAAGGGAGAGAGAAGGGAAATTGCATGGAAATGGAAGGAGACACTCAGGGTTATACAAAATTACACACAAGAGGAAGTGAGGGGAAAGGGAAAAATAATACAAGGAGGAGAAATGAATGACAGTAGAGGGGATAGAGAGAGAAGAGGGGAGGGGAGGGGAGGGGAGGGGGGATAGTAGAGGATAGGAAAGGCAGCAGAATACAACAGACACTAGTATGGCAACATGTAAATCAATGGATGTGTAACTGATGTGATTCTGCAATCTGTATATGGGGTAAAAATGGGAGTTCATAACCCACTTGAATCAAAGTGTGAAATATGATATATCAAGAACTATGTAATGTTTTGAACAACCAATAATAAAAAATTTAAAAAAAAAGATTTTACTAACAACTAGTAATTGTACATATTTAAAGCTACAGTGTGATTTTTCAACTGAACTCTTTATGATCATACAGAAATAAAAACAAAAGGATATGGTTCAGGAATAACCAGATGGGGACCTCAGAACTGCAGATCTTTGAGCACAAAAGGATCAAAGACATCATCTGTGAGCCTTAATTTTATTAAATATGGAAGCAATTTCTATCTATAATCATAATGAAATTCCATCTCAAATTCACTTTCCCTTTTTTCTTATTTTTAATTAATTTTTATTTTTATACATAATAGCAGAATTCATTATAATTCTTATTACACATACAGAGCACATTTTTTCATATCTCTGGTTGTATACAATGTATATTCACACCAATTTGTTTCTTCATACCTGTACTTTGGATAATAATGATAACTACATTCCACCATCATTTTATTTTCTTTTACAGATATTATCTTTATGGTATTGTTGGCTTTGGGATTGGTGGGGTCTAGAGGCATGTCAAGCTTAGGGATACATTCCAAGAGTATTACACAGAGGAATTTTGGATCAGATAAAGAGGTTGATAGTTAATGACTATTAGAAAGAACTAAAAGGACTTATATAAAGTTCAGTAACAGGAAAAACACTATGGTAATAAAAATCAGAATAGCAATTCCTGTTTGCTAGTAATTGGAAGGAGGGTGAGGTAATATTCTTTAGTAAATTATATTCTATATCATTCCAGTGTGATGATTAAACAGATAAATAGATTTATAAAACTCCCCCTCCCACCCTTCTGCCCTAGTTCGTCTGTTCCTCCTAGGCTCTCCCTTCCTACCCCTCTATGAATCAGCCTCCTTATATCAGAGAAAACATTTGGCATTTGGTTTTTTGTGATTGGCTTACTTCACTTAGCATTATCTTCTCTAACTCCATCCATTTACCTGCAAAGGCCATAATTTTATTCTCTTTTGTTTCTGAGTAATATTCCATTGTGGAGCCTAGCCTCCATCACAGGACCATCCCTTCCGACCAACAGACTACCACAGGAGATCAAGCCCAGAGACCCAGATCCACCCACACTTTCCCTCTTTTTTTCACTGAGAGAACATTCTTCAAAGTTGTGCATAAGAAAATTCTTACAAATTAATCTTTTTCCTCTCATAACATCATGAACTTTTTGGGGGGGGGTACCCAAAATTAACTATTGAGCTTAACTATTGAGCCACATCCCTACCCTTTCTTATATTTTAATTAGGAACAGGTCTTACTAAATTGCTTAGTGCCTTGCTACATTGTGGAGGATTGCTTTGAACTTCAGATCCTCCTGCCTCAGCCTCCCAAGCCCCTGGGATTACAAGCATGCACATAACACCCAGCATTTCACAATTCTTAAAATTTCATTCCTGATTGCTGATTGTGAGTCTCCTGATTTAACTTTACCTATTCAAGTTAATTCTTTTTTCTGTTAAGCAGTTGCTCATTCAGAAACCAGTTATATATTGAAATAACCAACTGCTGCTGTTGGCAGAAACATTTTAATCCTTCCACTAAACCCCCAGGTCTCATATGTTGAATGCCACAATATCCCTGGGGGTAGATGAGTTACACTAAAGAAGGTACAAGTTGTGGAATGTGAAGGCTGAGGGAGCCTCTCCTATCTGTTTTATGGAAAGTCTTCTGCCAAAGCATCAATATCCCTTCTTAGCAAAGACATATACAAAAATCAGACAGGCTCATGACTCCATTGTCTCTTAGAAAGTACCTGCTCTTCCTTGCTGTTGATCACCACCAGGTGAGCCTCCATTCTAGAGCAGTTATCCTGACTCTCTTTCCAAGATTTTCTATCAGTAGAAAGAAAGTAGCAACTGGAACTAAATGACTTCCAATTCTCTGGGCAACAGCTCCAGACTTTTCCTTTATTGGCAAGAAGAGAAAATAGGTACAATATATAATAATTTAATTTTAAAGTATATTATTAAATTTAAAGACCTAGGGAAATAGCATGAAAGCTGTAGCTTTCATATGCATACAGATATAAAAGGGACTCCTTTCCTCAGGTGCCAAAGAGCTACGTCTGCCTCCACCAGTCAGTCTCTCCTGCTAGAGTGGTATAAGAAAAAAAAACAGCTAAAAATATTGTTTAAATAAAACCAAGACTCCAAAACCTCAAAACAAAAATATACAAGTTTCAACACAAAATAATTAATCATACCAAGGACCAGGAAGTTCTCAATTTTAGTAAAAAAATGATAATCAATAGTGGCAAATAAATAAATAACAGATAACAAAATTGTTACAATTACCTGACAAAAATTTTAAAGCAACCAACATAAAAATGCTTCAACAAAAAGATACAACTGATCTTGAGACAAAGGAAAAGCCCTAAATAACTTTGAAAAGCCCTAAATAACTTCGAAAATCCCTGTGTCAAAATTTAAAAAAAAAAAAAAGAGCTGGAAAGTGGCTCAGAAGTTTGGCAGCCCAAAGTTCAATCTCAGGTACCCTACACAAACCATCATCCCCAAAATAGAAGCAAAGGAATGCTGACTCATAATGGAGATGCGGGGTGGGGTGGGGAGGAAGTATGGGAGGAATGGAGGAACTTTAGGGCAAAGGCAAGAAAGGGGAAGGGAAGGGGCAAATGGGTAGGAATGATGGTGGAATGAGTTAGACATCATTACCCTAAGTACATGTATGAAGACATGAATTGTGTGAAAATACTTTGTGTGCAATCAGTGACTTGAAAAATTGTGCTCTATATGTGTAACATAAAACGAATTGCATTCTGCCATTATGTATAATAAATTAGGATGAATAATTTAATAAAAAAAGAAACAAAAAATGTAGACAACAAAAACAAGATGTAAAAAAATGGAAAATTTAACACTGAAAAATATAATAAAATTTTAAAAGCCTAGCAGACTTCCTTTGGCCTCCATCTGACACTCCTTCCTGATTCTTCAGCCTAAAAGTTACCCAGATCAAATTTTGGACTTATCAAGCCCCCACATTTCCATGAATCAAGTTCTTAAAATAAAATCCATATTCACATGGCTTCTGTTCCTCTGGAGAGCACTAACATAATACACCACCCTAATAAATTGGAGCATGACTCCTCCATCATAAAATATTAGCTGCACGTAGCAACCTCCTTATGAACTGTACAGTGTGGGAATAGGAGAGGAAAAAGTAGCTTCTCAATGAGAAACCTGACAAACACTACCTCAGGTGATCAAGTTCAGCATCAATAGTTAACATTCACGTTAATAATATATACCCTTGCAATAATGTGATGAATAGCATTTTATATCTGTGACCTTCCTCCCCAAAAGAAATAATCCCCCTATACTCATTAGAAAATCTTCAAATTTTATCACAGACACAACCAATATTACACAGAATGGTATTCCTGTAAGTTGTCAGAGTCATCAAACAAGAAAGATCTGAAAAAATGTCATAGCAAAGAGGAACCTGAAGAGATATGACAAATAAATGTAATGTGAGGGACTGCAGGGATTCTAGCATAAAATAAGAACAAGAGTTAAAAATTTGGAACATCAAAAACATTGGGCTAAGGAAGTGACTCAGTGATAGACTTGCCTAGCATGTGTGAAGCCCTGAATTCAGTTCCTACTACCAAAGAAAAATTCATAAATTTTGGTTCATTTGATGTAACAAATGTCCTTATGTATAAAAAGGTTAATAATCATCGGCACTGCGTATGAAAGGTAGGGTTAATATAGAATCTTTTAATATTATCTGCTCAATTTTTCTGTCAATTTAAAAATATTTTTAAAACACCCTATTTAAATGTAAAAAATAATTCACATTCACAATAATATAGTCGTCTTCATTTTTATCAAATTGTTTGACTGATGGGAGAAAAACAGTAGCTTTGCAGAAACCTCAGAAAGAAGAACTGTCTGAAGAAATACGATAGCAATATACTCCTTTCAAAATAGAGCTTCACATGAACAACTTTAAATATCAATATTACAATGTTAGATTCTGGGCTGGGGCTGTAGTTCACTGGTACAGCACTTGCCTCGCTCGTGTGAGGTACTGGATACCATCCTCTGCACCGCACAGAAATAAATAAATATATTGTGTCCATCTATAACTAAAAACAAAAATAAAACAGAATGTTAGATTCTATGAAATTATACACTTGTAGATTAGAATGACCATAAGACTCCACTTCTTAGTGTTACCTGGAAATCATAAATACTGATTTGGGAATCTTACATAGTACAGTCAGCAACTGAATTCTAGGCACATGAAGTTTTAACTTCCATGGTTGAATTGATTCTTACACTCTCCAGATTTGTGTCAATCATTTCTTTTATAAGTCTTTTATAATTTTTGTCTTCAAGCAGCTGAGAATTTTTTTGAAAGAAAGCTAGAAAACAGAATAAAACCCAATCATTTTTCTGGTAGCATTAGGTCATTGCTCTTTACATTGCTTTCTTGCATTCTATGTACAAAAGCTACACATGTCCAACTGGACAGAGCCTGACAGAAAAATTGTCCCCATGACCCCTCAGTCAATGAAATCCTAATCCTACTGCTTTGGAAATATTAGGTATCTCCAGAAATAACTAAAAGATGAGGAGTTGAAAGAAGACATGAAAGTTCCATCATAATGGGATCTGAAGGATGTTATCTATAGTCTGCTTTCAGAGTTAACCCAAGATGCAAACCAAGGCTAAATTTTATGAGGTGTGAGTGGAAGTTATTTAAGGAGGAACACAACCTGGGACTTTATGAGAAGGAAATTTGATAATTTTACCCAATTCTGGGTGATCTTAAAGAACAGAAAAAATGTTTTTCAAAAACCCAAATATTGACCAAGAAGACATTGTTCTTCATCTCTTTTGTGTGTCTCTCCCAATTTAGAACTAACTCACCCCCACCTCTAGAAAATGGATTTGGGGGGCTCCAGTAGTATCTCAGTATCACTTGCCTAGAATATGCAAGGCCCTGGGTTAATAATAAACACTACTTCAAGAAACTAAATTTCTTTTTTATCCCTCTCACCTCCTATTTGTTTCTTGGCCCACTTCATTCGGGCTTTGACTTCCATCATTTCATTAAAACTGTCCTTGATATGGATCATCAGTAATTTTCTAGGATAATTTATTAGTCATTTTCTAATGGCCTCTTGCAATCATTCACTCAGGTCTTCCTCCTTAGCTCTTGGTACATTGTTCTCTTCTGTTCCTGCCTCACCTTCCTTACTGATGCTTCTTATCTACTTCAATCAGCTCTCTTCCTCCATTTACCTTTTTTTAAAAAAAAATGTAGCATGTCCAAGAGTTCTTTCCTAATTTCTACTTCTTGTTTAAAGTCCTCTTCTGGAGTGATAGCATATATTGCCATTCTGGGACTTGCTATCATTATGTAAATGACTTCCAAAATTCCAGAACTCTCTCCTAAAATCCAGGCAAATATGCCACCCACTGGACATGTACATTGTAGGTTAACACATTGTGCCCAAAATGTAAATAATCATCTCTCAAAATAAACCCGCTATTCATCCTATACTGCCTACACCTTTGAGCAACTTCTTCACTACTAAATTTACAAGGTCAGAATATTATATTCACACTTAACATTTATGGGTCCCCAATATTCATCAAGCCTTGGCCTCCTTGATTATAACTTCTTTACCCTTCAAGCTACCTGTCTTCTCTGTCTTCACTAACACTATTCTTAAATTAGGCTCTCAATGTTTTCCAATGTGAAGATGAATTAGCATCTCTTTGGTGCATTATAATTATACATAATAATAGGATTCACTATTATATAGTCTTACATGCACAAAACATTATTTGGTCAATTTAATTCCCTAGTACCTCCCCAATCCCTTCCCTCTTCTGTCACCCTGGTCCCCTGCCTCTACTCTACTACTTTTCCCTCAATTTTCATGAGACCTGACTCCTCTTTCTCTTTTTGCTCCCAAATTATCATATATGACAGAAGACACACAACCAATGACTCTCTCAGTCTGGCTTATCTCACTTAACACAATGCTGTCTACATCTGTTCATTTTCTAGAAAATAGCACCTCTCCTTACCTTCACCTTTGTCCTCCTAAATCCATTTCCACACCTCGGTAGAAGCATGCCTCCTTAAGTCAAATCTCTGCCCAAAATCCATCAATGGCTCCACATCACTGACATACTGCAAAACTGGCCTCAATGTTCCACCCTTCTTGTATTTACACCCCTTTACAATGAGACTTTGTAGCTTCTCCAATCAAGAAGTAAGGTCTCTTTCTTCACCAATAGAATAGGAACTGCTTTAAGACTCCATTTGACCAATAGAATGTGCAAAAACTACCAGGATAGTTCCAAATTCAAACTTTAACGTGCCTTGTTTCTTTTCACCCTCTATCATGGAAGTTTGCAAGTGGCTCATCCAAAAATATCAGCGTCTGTAAAGTTAAATAAGACTAGCCTTATAAATGCTATTAAGAAAACACAGATGTGTTCTCACACATAATCTAATGGAACTGATGATCCATAGATTTCATTCTGTAGCACCAACCCAGACTATCCTGATGAATAATAGGAGAAATGTAGTAAAGCTGATCCTTTAATTCCAGCTCACATGCTCTTCTTCAGAAGCCAAGTTGCCTGTGATTTGGTCCCCAATATCATATGCATGAGTGAGTTCAGCTAGTACCAAAGGAATCTCCCAACTGAGACCAGTGTAAATTGCCAAGCCACAGATGCATGAGCTAAATAAATAGCTGTTTCAATTCACTGTTTAAGCTTGTTTATTAAGTAGCATGGGATATATTATCATATAACCTTTAGGGAAAAATTAAATTTTTTTATAATACTATATGACCTTCTTCATGATCTTAATTCTGTTTCTGTCTGCCACCTACAACTTCATTTCAAAGTTTTTCACATCGCACTATATTTTCCCAGTCAGGCATGTTTATATTTACCCCCAATTCTTCCATTTTATAATGACATACATATAATATATCTATGTCATTTGGTAGTAACAGAGGTACATGTTTCCTCCTTAAGAAACCTACTCAGGCTCCTGTGTTCACTTCTTACTTGCACAATATTTCCCACCTCATGTTGTAAGCCCTGGTTTTTTAACTATTCTATTAATATCTTGAGACCAGTGGCTGTGGCTATTTCTGGATTCTCTAACATGGTCCTAGCAAACAATATTTATGGCCATTGTAACTTATCAAATGTCAAAATTTATAAAGCAAATATTTACCTAAATATATGCTGTTTTATGACTTTTGAAAGCTCGATAAACTCTGACATACAACATATGAATAAATCCACATATTCCTGAGATCTCACAATGGGACAGACAAAAATTATTAGAAGGAAATTCCCTGGGGAACACTTCCTGAAACATTTCTTCCAACCCTTGATGTTCACCTGCTCATTCAAAAATGTAACTGTCTGTGTAGTCAAATAAGACTAGCCTTATAAATGCTATTAAGGAAATATAGATGAGTTCTCACAGAGAATCTAATATAGAACTGATGACCCATAGATCTTATTCTGTAACACCAAACAATAAACATATATCTACTCTTCAAATTCTCTCAATGAACATAAATTCCATGATTTTTGCAAAAGCAAAATTCCCAATGAATTCTCAGGAACTCCAACCCATGCCCCCACAATAGAAAAATTTATTTTTCAAATTACTGGATCATTGTGAAATGTCAGTTTCTAATGAATGGCTTCTATTCATGAAAGGCAGGCATTACTAACTGACTCTGTTGGCATACTTACTGATAAAAGAGACAGACAATAAGATTTCCTTCAGCAGGAAAAGTATCAGCAAAAAAGCAAGTAGAAGCTTGGAAAAACCAAAATTACTCTGATGTGGAATGGTGGTTTTCCTGGGATCTGAAGGATAAACCAAATTAGATTCATCAGTAATGAATTCTATTTTTATTTCCAGTTCCTCCTATATGAGTTGGCTTTTTCTCACTGTGACCAAAATATCTGAAAGAACAACTTAGAGCAGAAAAAGGTTACTCTGGGTTCATGGCTTCAGAAGTTATTTTGGGTTCATGGCTTCAGTCCATGGTCAGCCTTCTCCATTGCTCTGGGCATGAGGTAAGGCAGAACATCATGGAAGAAGGGTGTAGTGGAGGAATGCTGTTCAGCTCAAGACAGCCAGGAAGCAAAAAGAGCAAGCAAGGAGCCAGAGAAAAAATATAATCCACTGAGGAATGATGTTGATCAAATTATATTGTCATATCATGTACATGTATAAATATGTAACAATGAATCCCACTAGTGTATATAATTATAATGCACCCATTAAAATATGTAAATAAAAAGTGTATAATCAAAGGGCATGCCCCAGTGACCTAATTTCTTCAGTTGCACCACACTTAATTACCAAAGAGTAATGTGTTCTAATTATTAATCCATCAATGTCAATTAATCCACTGATTAGTTTATGGTTCTCATAACTATTTTATCTCCAAATGTTCCCAAATTGCCACATAAGCTTTTCAGGGCACATCTCATATCCACAACATAACATTCTGCCCCTGGTCCCCAAAACTTCATATCTATCTAACAATGGAAAAACCATTTAGTCTATCTCCAAGAGTCCTCATAGTTTTCAAAGTTCCAGCATTTCCCAATAGACCAAGTCCAAAGTCTCCTCTGAGACTCAAGACAAACTGTGGTGTGAGCCTCTGTAAAAATCAAAAGTAAGCTTTGTTAAGTTGGTTTGAGGTGGCTAAGGAAACAGAGCACCAGGGAACCCAAGTGTGTGAAAGAACAACCAATCAGGCGCCAACAGACAAGCAATGATAGTGCCTCATAACCACCTGACAATCAGTGGAGTCTCCTGACCAATCCTGGAAGGACATATATCTCAGCAAGATCTCCTGACCAACCCCAGGAGAACAAGGGACACTAAAAACCTCCCTTTCCTGTCACAAGCCCTCCCTTCTTGCCCTAAGCCCAATAAAATTACAATCTGGATGAGCCTGGGCGCTATTCTCATGGACCTGCTCTATTGGACTGGAGGGTCTCTCCCAGGAGCAAATCTCAAAAAAGCCTGGTTCAGCTGCTTTTAATCTGCCTCCTTTTGATCACTGGTGCCTGACCTCACATCTGGTGCCAAAACCTGGGAGGGTTTTTCAGCCCTCTCCATAGGGAGGGCCCTCCTCAACCCATAGGGGTTGAGATCCACCCTCTCCTTCAAATGAACCAAGAAATTTCTAAGCTGCTCTTTATTTTCTCTCCTTTCATCCAGGCCAACAGGAGTGGGGTAAATTCCCTCATTTCTCCTGACCTTCCAGCCCCTATCGGTCCTGGAAGCGGGGGGGGGGGAGGGGGGGGGTCTATCTGTAAGTCACGCACATGTCATAGACCCACACCTGTTCTGCTGAAAGCCCTGGGAACTGTGGAGATGTCCCTAGTCCTTGTGTGATTCATTCTGATCCATTTGTATTACAGGAACACCTCAACCCCCACCTAGCCCTTATCTGTCCCTCAAGTGTGTGCAATAAGAATTTGGGACACCCTTTTTTGCTCCCACCCACCCCCAAGGGTGCCAGCAGGTCACAGGAACCACCAAGTCCTCCTTAGACCCTAAAACTCCTTTGGGTTGTCTATATTCCAATTTTGTCAAATTAGGACTCACTCAAGACCTGTGCCATAAGCACCTGGTCTTTCACTTCACTGTGGCCTGGCCCCAGTATGACTTAGACAATGGGTCAAAATGGCCACCAAAAGGAACTTTTGATTTTAAATCCTCACTGATTTGGTCAATTTCTGTCACCAGATAGGGAAGTCCCTTACATTCAGGCTTTTTGAGATTTGCTCCCATCCTACCCTCTGCTCTACCTGTTCTACTGCTCAAGTCTTCCTTGCTAGGGAAAATCCCAAACCCCTTTCCTGTTCTTCTCCATCTCCTTCCTCATTCTCAGATCCACCCAAACTGCTCTCAGCCCCACCTTCTGGTCTTCCCCCACCCTAGCAGGTCAATCCTCTCCCTCCTCCCCTCTCACAATGGCACCCTCCCCTCCTCCAGCTACCACAGCTCCTCCTCCTCTGCTCCAGAACCCTCCCCCTCCATTCCTCTCCCCCTCCTCTCTCTCATTCTCTCCTACAGTCATGATTCCTCTGCCCCCTCTTATACTGATACAATCCTTCTCTCTTCCCCCTCAGGATCCCTCCACCCACTCACTCCTCACTTCTCCTGTCAGTGCCCACACATGGTCCCACCAGGCCTTCTTACCAGCTAACCCAAAGCTCCTTTGTCCTCTCAGGGAAGTGGCTGGCACCAAAGGATTGTCCAAGTACACGTCCCATTCTCACTTCAGGATCTTTTTTTAATTTATTTTTATTTCTTATATACATGACAATAGTGGAATGCATTACAATCATAATTATCCATTCACAGCACAATCTTTCATAACTCTGTATATAAAGTATGTTCACACCAAATTATGCTATTATACATGAGCTCTCTTTTTTTGCATTACAATTCTTAATATACTTTTATACCACAATTTATCATATCTCTGTACATAAGGTATGTTGACACCAAATTCACATCTTCATACATGTATTTTGTATAATGATGAGGGTCTCCTTCCACCATTCATGCTATTCCCCTTCTCCCTCCCTTTCCCTCTCACCCCTATTCCCTATCTAGTGTAATCTTCCTCCCATGCTCTCCCTCCCTACCCCTTTTTTGAATCACCCCCCTTATATCAGAGAAGACATTTGGCATTTGTTTTTTGGGGGATTGGCTAACTTCACTTAGCATAATCTGCTCTAATGCCATCCATTTTCCTGCAAATGCCATGATCTTATTATTTTAGTGCTGAGTAATATCCCATTGTGTATAAATGCCACATATTTTTATCCATTCATCCACTGAAGGGCATCTAGGTTGGCTCCACATTTTAGCTATTGTGAATTGTGCTGCTGTAAACATTGATGTGGCTGTGTCCCTCTAGTATGCTGTTTTTAGGTCTTTTGGGTATAGCCTAAGAAGAGGAATAGCTGGGTCAAATGGTGGTTCCATTCCCAGCTTTCCAAGGAATCTCCATACTTCTTTCCAAATTGGCTGCACCAATTTGCAGTCCCACCAGCAGTGTATGAGTGTACCTTTTGCCCCCACATCCTTGCCAGCACTTGTTGTTTGTCTTCATAGTGGCTGCCATTCTTACTGGAGAGAGATGGTATCTTAGAGTAGTTTTAATTTGCATTTCTCTGATTGCTAAAGATGATGAGCATTTTGTTGATTGATTGTATATCCTCTTCTGAGAAGTGTCTGTTCAGGTCTTTGGCCCATTTATTCATTGGATGATTTGTGTCTTTGGTGCTTATCTTGTTGATCTCTTAATATACCCTAGAGATATATATCCCAGGATGTAGGCTCCCTATTTATATGTTATTTCTTTTGCTGAGAAAAAAACTTTTTAGTTTGAATTCATCCCATTTGTTCATTCTTGGTTTTAATTCTTGTGCTATAGGCATCTTATTAAGAAAATTGAGGCCTAGCCCCTTGTAATGGAGATTACGGCCTACTTTTTCTTCTATTAGACACAGAGTCTCTGGTTTAATTCCTTGATCCTTGATCCATTTTGAGTTAACTTTTGTGCATGGTGAGAGATAGGGATTCAATTTAATTTTGTTGCATATGGATTTCCAGTTTTCCCAGCACCATTTGTTGAAGATTCTATCTTTTTCACAATGCATGCTTTTGGCACCTTTGTCTAATATGAGGTAGTTGTAATTTTGTAGGTTAGTCTCTGTGTCCTCTATTCTGTACCATTGGTCTACCAGCCTATTTTGGTGCCAGTACCATGCTGTTTTTGTTACTATTGCTCTGTAGTACAGTTTATCACTTCAGGATCTTTACCAGAGTTTGTCTTGAGTCTCAGAGGATACTTTGGACTTGGTCTATTGGGAAATGCTGGAACTTTGAAAACTATGAGGACTCTTGGAGATAGACTAAATGGTTTTTCCATTGTTAGATAGATATGAAGTTTTGGGGACCAGGGGCAGAATGTTATGTTGTGGATATGAGATGTGCCCTGAAAAGCTTATGTGGCAATTTGGGAACATTTGGAGATAAAATAGTTATGAGAACAATAAACTAATCAGTGGATTAATTGACATTGATGGATTAATAATTAGAACACATTACTCTTTGGCAATTAAGTGTGGTGCAACTGAAGAAATTAGGTCACTGGGGCATGCCCTTTGATTATACACTTTTTATTTACATATTTTAATGGGTGCATTATAATTATATACACTAGTGGGATTCATTGTTACATATTCATACATGTACATGATATGACAATATAATTTGATCAACATCATTCCTCAGTGGATTATATTTTTTCTCTGGCTCCTTGTTTGCTCTTTCTGCTTCCTGGCTGTCTTGAGCTGAACAGCATTCCTCCACTACACCCTTCTTCCACGATGTTCTGCCTCACCTCAGGCCCAGAGCAATGGAGAAGGCTGACCATGGACTGAAACCATGAACCCAAAATAACTTCTGAAGCCATGAACCCAAAGTAACCTTTTTCTATTCTAAGTTGTTCTTTTGAGATATTTTGGTCACAGTGAGAAAAAGCCAACTCATAGACAAGGAACTGGAAATAAAAAATAGAATTCATTACTGATGAATCTAATTTGTTTTATCCTTCAGATCCCAGGGAAAACACCATTCTTCACCAGAGTCATTTTCGTTTTTCCAAGCTTCTTCTTGCCTTGTTGCTGATACTTTTCCTTCTGAAGGAAATCTTATTCTCTGTCTCTTTATCAGTAAGTATGCCAACTGAGTCAGCAATGTCTGCCTTTCATGAATACAAGCCATTCATTAGATGGGCTGGGATATAGCTCAGTGGCAAAGCATCTGCCTTGCATTCACAAAGCCCTGGGTTTGATCCCCAGTTCCAAAAAACACCAAAGAAGAAGAAGAAAAAGAAGAAGAAGTAGCAGCCAATCATTAGAAACACATTTCACAATTATCCAAGCATTTGAACAATAAATTTTCTATGTGGGGGTAGGGGGGACTTGGGTTAGAGTTCCTGCAAGACCAATGTAATTCTGCAACCTGTACACTGAGAAAAAAGAGAACTTATATCCCATCTGATTCAACTGTATATGTCAAGATCATTGTACTATCATGTGTAACCAATTAAAACAAATTTAAAAAAGAAATTGAGAAAACAAATAAGAACTAAATGAGAAATAGCAAACGTTTTGCAAATTATCCCAGTTTTTATTCTTTACATTCAACAACATCAAAGAATGTCTATTATTGTTCATATGTAGTGAATGCCGAATGCTCATGTTAGCTAATGTAACAATGTTCAATGGTGGAAAGACTGGGCTAAGAGAACTGTAACCCCATCAGCTGATTAATTCATTTGATGTACTAATCACTTGAATGGACTGCAGGGGGGTAAGATAAGAGTGTGGCTAGAGGAAGTTGGTCATTTGTGCATGCCCTTGGGGATTATGTCTTGTCCCAGGTTCCCCAAGCTGAGATCTCTCCTCCACCATGCCCTTCTGCCATAATGTTCTCACTCATCTCAGGCTCAGAGCACTGGATTCCATGAATTTAGACCTCTGAGACCATTACCCCAAAATGAACTTTTCCTCCTCTTAGTTGTTCTTGAAACACCCTTTGATCACATCAATAAATAGCTAACACAATAACGTAATCAAATTCTCATTTGGAGAACCATTACAAATAATTTTCATTATAGTTTACTATATGGTCACGAATAGAGAAATAAAATTTTCAAAAATTTGGGTGACTTTCTAACAAACCTCATATCATTTCTATGTACTACCTTAAGATACCAAAATTTATCAGTTTGTGTCATCAAGTTGAAAATTAGGAATATCACTGATGTTGAAAACCAACTCATGCTAATAATGATTTGATTATGGATACATCATATTGCAGTTTTTAAATCCCCATTCACCTTGCTAAGATTTCAAATAGAATTTCATTTTATTAGTAATGTTTTATCAAAATTTATAGTAAACTCATGATGTGTTCAATATGTATACTTGTAACAATAAGCCAATCCAAAAGAATTTTTACAGCCTTAAAGCCTAACACTCCACAGGAAAGAAAATTTGTAAACATCTACTTATGTATGTATATTTAGTGGATAAAAGAAGTTGACATAAGTATTAGTCCAAGGGGCAAAACAGTGTAAAACATATAACCACTAAACAAAACACTTTTTTTTTCCAAAGGGAAAAGGCTTTATCACGCACAGAACTAGTGGTAACCAGAATAACAGAATTTTCACTTATTCTTCTTTTAATCAGTCATGGGGATTAACACTTTGTTATGATTTCTAGACACTGGGAGATGTATTTTTAAAAGAGATGTAATCATTTTAAGTGTCAGTATTTATGAAGTTCCACAAGTTGAAACCTTTGTTTCTATAACATGAAGAAATATTTTCAATGTAAAATTGCATAAGAGACTACATGTCTTTTAAAGTTCCTTTCAGGGGTGGACAAGCAAAACATTCCTAAGGCCACTGGTACACGTAGAGTACATACTGAAGGTGTTTTAATTCTACCCGCATATTTTCCTTGTTTCACAATATTTGTCTTTTGCTTAAAAAATAAAAATTCTGCTCCTCTTGGCAGAACTACAGCTCTTGAGGTCAATATTGTCAGAGGCATCAGTCAAGATAAATATTGAGCAAAGGTCAATAAATTTTTTAATCCTCCCTTCTCAGGTAAAGGGAAGCCTGAAATTGTTTAAATTCAAAAGCAGACTTCATGTAACTACTCAAGGAAAGACTTTGAGATCCTGCCTCAATATTTTGC